GCTACTCTGTGTTCGGCAACCAAAAATGAACTACATGTATATTCTAAAATCAATGTTCTATGTGAACCGATGTTGCTTGGATTTAGAAGAATAGTTTCATGTGCTTTTCATTTGTTTTGCCTTAATCAAATTTCTTTGAGGTGATTCCATCTTCCTTTTGTTTTATCAAATCAAATGCATAGAAATACAGACAGAAACTACCATATGTCATGAATTGTGTTCATAAATCAGTTTCAAAATGATGGCTACTTATGCTTCTTTCAAAGTGTGCAGTTTCAATTACTTATTGTAATCACACTTTACGCATACACTTCATGCGTACATTGTATTTACGTCTTTTCAATTTCTGATGATCATTTGTGGGTGTACATAACTCTAAGATTTGCCAGAGCCTTTAATCTGCTACACGTTTTGAATAATTGAATTCACTGTACACGAGCAATCCTATATGAACTGACATTGAAAATGGACCGGGACTATGTCATGTGACCTGTTATCATCTATCACAGCACCAATCACCTGTTGCTTCACAGCTAATCACCATTCCTCAGATAATGCAAAAAGAAATATTATTCTGTAATTTGCGAATGATTGATTAGCTAAGGTTTTAAAATGAAATGTTACTTGAAGGTCATGGAGCAGTGTTATTTTGATGTGTGTCTCATATGGTGTTGTTGCATACAAGTACATGGAGCAGTGTTATTTTGATGTGTGTCTCATATGGCGTTGTTGCATATATGTATGTGTAAAATCTGTGTGTTCTTCATGGTGTGATTAATTCTGAAGCTTCTGTTGTATCCAGTATTGTTCAGTTTGAATGTTTTTATATTTATTTTTCATCTTTTCCATTTTATCTGAAGCCAGAATCTGAATTGAGGATGAGCATCTGATTCCAAGTCTGAATCCAAAGCTGAAAAGTCTGAAACTAAAGCTGAATTTAAGATTGAGTGTTGTTAGAATATAATCTGAATCTGAATCTACCTACATGTATCTATCATGTATTCACAAATCCCTTTCATACGGTCAATTTGTGGAAGGATTATTCAATTATATATTTGAATGTTCTAAACTCAACCACCTGTTGATTGACATAGTGCTCCTTTCTTTCATCCCTTAAAAAAAATGTTTTTCTGTTATTAGCCAAAGGTTGTTGTGTCAAACCATTCTGTTGAACAGCAGTGGCTGATGGGTAATATTTTGAGCTATTAGATTACTCTTAAAGGTGGAGTCATTGCGTCGTATCCTGTTCGATATGGGACTCATAGTTATGTATATAATACATGTAAAATACTTTGTTTGTTTATATGAAATTCGAAAAAGGGCTGCACAGCAACCCCCGTCCTTAAACAAATTGTCCTTCCTATGTCATCACTTGCAACCTGACGAAAACATCTGAAATTACCAAAATACTTAATACCATATTTGATCTATTGCTAGGTGATACACTTGTATTACTAAGGGTGTGGCTATGGTCAAATTAAATTCTTATTCAGAATACTGTAAAATGCTTTATTTTAGCTGGAATTAATTTTCGCTGAATGGACTTTTTGGGTGTTTTGTATGGAATTTATTTTCACTGATTTTTAAGGAGCTGAATGTAAAATATAGGAAAAAAGTTATATTAACTGGATTTTATTTTCACTGAATTATTCTTTCAGCGAAAATTATTTCCAAGCGAAAATAAAGTGTTTCACAGTACAATAAAATGCAATTGTTGGTTTGTGTATTAGAGAATGTGGTACTATTAACATGAGTATTTAGCTATCATGTTATTTTAGCTTGTTCAGCTAATCTGTAATATCGCTAATTCAAAAAGTAGCTGTTTCAAAATAAAGATCTTCTCATGATGAGAATGATGATACTTAGCTAAGCTAAAATTCAGTTAATTCATACATTGAGTTCAATTCGCTAAAATTACATACAGCTATTTCATGTTGTTTTACAGTAATTTACAGCAGCCAGCCTTTTAAGCCCATCACAAACAATTATAAATTCTCAAACTTTTGACGTTATTTATTATATGTGTATTTTATCATGACCTTAGATGGCTGTCATAGCAACTACTCAAGTTTAGCATCAAACAAGGCTTGGTAGCACATTCCTACGGCCATTCACACTATTTTGTACTTCTGTTATAAACTGCTTGAACTATTTGTCAAGTTGTAACTTTGCAGTTTATACCAAGGCTTTGCTGTTGAGCTTCTATGTGACTAAGTATAGTTGTGAAAGATGCAGTAATCAGTGTTTCGAACAATTTCACGTGCAAAATATCAGGGAGTTGTTTATATTGGCACCTAACATCCGCACGTAACACACGTTAAGTCTAGTAACACTGATTCAGTCAGGACACCGTCATTTCAGCTTTGTTTATTTACCGCCTGGTCATAGTTCAATTGCCCTAACCCACATCTTCTCTACATTACTACATTACCTAAATGATGTAATTTTTAACAGATCTGTTAATTTACTTAGACACAGTGTTCCCTCTAAGCCGATATCACCTATCAGATTTTTCATGATTCAACATTTATGACAGAGGCCATAAACAGCAGTACTGTAAACATAGATGACAAGTTTTGACTCGGTGTGGTCCAAGCTCAACCTATCAGATAGCTAAGTACTTAGCTGTCTCAAAGTTTAGCTTGTTTTCAAAACTGACACATATCTGTATTGAGGAGAGTGATCTTATAGTTGAAACATAAGTAAATAATACAATGAATACCGGTCACTGGTAGCCTAGTAGTTGTCGCATCGCACTCGTGGCCGGTAGACCCAAGTTCAAATCCTACCTTAGGCTGAACATCCAATGGGTCGACCCCTACCCTGGGTGAGTGTGACACAGACTCAATGGGAAGGCTTATTCCATTGGCCGAGATTCCTTCACTCACAAATGCAACTTTGGGGGAACCTTGGTTAAGGTCCACAGGTGCTTGTGTTTGACCTAGCCAGGATAGCGCATTAAAATTGCCATTTGATAGGGAGATGGCCAAACAGCCCTGACATGTAGTCCCAAACATGAATATGACTTCTGTGGTAAAAATGCACTATGTGTCAGCACTAGCATTTGCAATTTGCACATACAAAAAAACAGACAAACAGTGACATTCAATGTCGCCTGGCAAAAAAAAAAAAAAAAAAAATACTTCAATGAATAAGTTGATATTATGGATGACAATGATTTATGAAAATGAAAAGCTTCGAAGTTCAGTTATTTTTCTGAACTGTACTTTAGCTGATAGCACGCTTGGAAGTTCAGTTCAGCCTGGACTGTATTGTATTTGTATACAGACATTAGCATGTTTTTATGAGCATTTTTCAATTTTGGAAAATGTTTCATCGAAGTACTCTTTCCATTCCCTCTGCTCATCACAAATAAACTAACCAATAGGAATTCCTGATTTAGCACATGTGACCCACAGTTATACTACTATCATATGCAAATAAACTAACCAATAGGAACTCCTGATTTAGCACATGTGACCCACAGTTATACTACTATCATATGCAAAAATATGGCTGAACACCATATGCTAGTTTAATGGTCTATCTGCGCATCACTGAAAGTCAGTTGACCCTGGGAATTAATACAACTACTAGACAGACATGCTCAGTTTTCAAATAATAAATTCATTTTTGCTCATTCAATAAAAATTCTAATAATATCACTCATTTTTGTGTCTCCAAGTCCTCCTTGCCTGCTAATAGTCTCTATAGATAACTAAAATGAATGGGAAAAAATCGTATCAACAGATACATGTTGTGTTCTCTCTTTTCATCACAAAATAGTCCCATTTATAGTCTGCACTTTCCTTCAGAAGATTAGGACAAAAATAGCCATATTTTTTGAGTAAAACTTAAATATAACTCAAATTTTGTCTGGTGGCTACAAAATTAGGGTTAAATTCCAGAAATATTGAATAATATAAGAAAAAAGTGCAAAATTTGGGTGAGAATGTCTGGTGAAAAGGGTAAAAGTGCCCCCAGTATCATCCTGGTTTATTACCTGTATAGTGAGTGACTCATTAAATCATATCAGCTTCCCTGGGACCATAGCATTATTGGCATTCTCACTAAATATGTAACCATGTAGTGTGTATCCACATTGTTACAGACACCTGCACTTTCCAGCATATGGGTGCCTCCCGCCTTTATTCACCACTCTTAAGTGTTAACACCCCCTTTATTACCCCTTAAGTACTAATACCTGTTTATTCCCCTTTTTTCAGTTGTTGACGTTTTTGTCGTATTTTGTCATAATATAACTGGTATCTTGTTTATTTGCATCACCATATGTTTTTTTTATTGATTTTCTCATAGATTATACAAAAAAACACAATATTTTCTTGTTTTAAAACAAAATCTGCTGGGTCATTAATCATTGGTCAAGGTGACCACATTGGCCTTGATATATTCTATTAGTGTCGACTGAGAGGCATGTAAAAAAAAAAAAAGATGAGCAGTTACTCTCCTAAAATTAATCCTCATACCCGACTTAAACGAACGAGGCTTTGGCAGTATATACAAACGATGCGATGTTTATTTACAGAATTCACATGTGCGTAACCAAACAACTGTCACTATTTACTACAAGTTGTGTGTTTTGGTGAGAGCATAGAGAGGATTGTAAACATTAAATCTGTATACAGTAATACACGGTGACCGATTGCTGCTTTTCAAACAGATAACATGTGCTTTGACATCACCCCCACCACCCAGCTAATTAATTCATTCCCCACCTGACTTGTTTTCATTCCCTTTCCTAAACACAGACAATACATCATAGATCTTTACATAATCAGACATCAAGCATGTCATTTATTGCACGTAAGCCACCATTACATTAGCATTTCTATGAACACTGCCCATTCTTTATGCTAAGGTCTTTCAGGCTAGTAAGGTTTACTGCCAGCCAATTACTGTTCATATGCAGATTAGATGTAAATGTTATTGTCTGGCTATTAACATAATTCTGCTGTTCACTCTGGTAATACAGTCAGTGTGGCATATCTATGGGTTGTAAGTGCTTGCTGTTTTGTGTTTTTACCGCCGTCTTGTAAGCGCTGCTAGTACGGCTGAAGTTTAGTTTACTGCGATATCATGTGCTTATTTTGCAAGAACAGTGCTCCAATTAAAAAGTCCCCGCTTGGTAGTACATCGTATACCAAGTTGGAAGTGACCAATGTGTTGGCTACTGAGAATATCCGTTTGGATCTGAATACATTGACGTGTCAGGTGGAGAGAGGTAAACAAACGTTTATTTACAATATTTTGATGTCCACGCAACATTTATTTTCAACACTAGATAGTGCAGCAGATTCTGGTGCAGCTTTAGATTTTCTGTTTAAAAATGTAAATAAAAAGTTTTTATTGACTTAAAGAAAATGAAAAAAAAAATGTTATCCACCAACTGCCCTTTTTAACCAGCTGCTGAAAGAAAAGTTACAATGTTTTTCGGCCTGTTTCAATACTGCTATGCCAGAGGGTATGATCTAATTAAAAATCTTTCGTTTTTTTCAAAA